GGGTGGACGAATTTTATGCCGCTGTCGCTTTCGTACACTGAAACACAGATTAAGTACCTAGATTATTAAAACGGGGTTGTTATGGGAAAGTTAATATACAGACATGGGCCAAAATTATTGCATATATCGTTGAAAAATATACGGAAAGGAATTTTATGAATCTTTTTTTTATACATAGCTTTGATAATCTGTAATAAACATTTTTTTTTGTTAAAATGGATATGGTAAACAATGTTTATCGTTCAGACCCAATATTATTACAAATTCTTGCACATTTCGATTTGTGGTCTCTTGGGTTTTAGAAGAAATTTGGCCGTTGTTTTGGCCTTAAAATGCCTAGAAACATTATTTCACAGTTTAATACACAGTCTCAACAGGGCTACCGGCAAGTTGCATTAGCTGAAACTGTAGGAGTTAACCAAAGCGATGTTTCGCGAATATTAAAAAAAAATCAGGGAGACAAACGAGGTTACAGACCGGCCTGGAAGAGGTAGAAAGAGAGTTACTACTGCTGTGCAAGACCGTCAAATATCCCTAATTGCACGACGCGATCCCCTGCTTTCTAGTACTGCTATTAAAAATGAGTTAGCTCGCCTTGAAGGAGTAATTGTTTCAAGAAAGACCATAGCAAGAAGACCCCATGACAGAGGATTACATTTAAGGAGGCCTCTACGTGTTCCGAAGCTTAAGTTACAGCACTGAGGAGATGAGGAGATGAGAGCAAATGGACCTAATTGGAATTTCGTCATGTTTAATGATGAAACAAGAATAGGCCTAGTGTCAGACTCGCGACGAACTTTGGTCTGGAGGACATCTGGAAGACGAGCACGCTTCAATGCAGCTGAACCCCGTATCTCGTTTCAAGGGGGAATCATTATGGTATGGGCAGGTATAATGCACCGAGCTCGAATTCCTCTTGTTTTTATTGATGGCAAAATGACAGGTGCCTCATATCTTAGAGACGTTTTAGAGCCTATTGTGCGTCCATTGCGAAGGGCAGTGGGGGATGAATTTGTTTACATGGACGATAATGCTCCTCCCCATCGCACTTTAGCGGTTCGCGAATTTTGTGAGGTAGAGGGTATAAGAAAACAGTGGTGGCCACCGATGTCTCCAGATATGAATGTGATCAAACATGCTTGGGACATGCTAAAACGCCATATTGCCAAAAGGAATGATGAAAATTGCTGCCCGCGAAACATGGGAAGCCATTCAACATCTTCTGGACAACTTAATTGAGAGCATGTCACGTCTTCTCACAGCTTGCATTGAGGCTCGAGGAGGCAATACAGACTATTAGTTGTGAGAAATAGTTAAAATTGTTTTCAATATTTTCTGTTTAAAATGAAATTTCTTTTTGTTGATTCTCACTCATTATCAAATAAAATTATAATAACAGCCTAGTTGCACTTAGATTTTTAATTTTATATTAGTTAGTCGCGTAGTAGGCCAATATGTCCAAAAATATAAAAAGAATCATATTAGGTCCAAAATAAAATAAAAATATCGTTATATGCAATAATTTTGGCCATATGTGTAAGTTGACGGGCAGGTCATAAAATTGGACGAATAGATAGTTGGTCTGTTCTTACTTGATTTTTGCAATTCCTCCATTAAATCTTCGATGACGGGTCCTTTGTAGATATCTGGTGATAACAGCTTCGGCAACAATTTGGTCGCGACATTGTCGTGAAGGGTTTCCGCCTTGTAGTAGTCCAGAGATTTTCGGACTTTGGACGACAGGCCCAAGGACATCCTCTCCCGCGGTTCCTTGCCATCACAAGAGAAAAAACGGAAAGAATAAGCAAACATTAACCGAATCAGAATACAGTTTTTGGTTTAAACGAATTGTGTTATGGTAGTTTAAGCTTAATATTGTTTGCTAAGAGACCTTGCAGTCATTCATTATTCTTCTTAGAACCTCTTTTAGTGCGAAGTGTACAAGACATCTTAATAGCCGTTACAAAAAACTAATCGCAACGTTATTAGGATATTTTGAACGGGAAAGCGGTAGTAATGGCCCTTTATGTCCCTTAAGTGCTGTTAAGAAAGTGAGTTTTGTTGATATAAATAATAACTGTTTGTATATTTATAATTAATTCATTTTTGTTTTCTAAAATATTTTGATTAAAAGAAAATATGTAAAAGTAGGCAACCCTGTGCCTGTCAAGCTTAATCACGTCATCACGTGACTAAAAGTTTATTTGATATGAACTTTGAATAAGAAGACTAAGGAAGGAGTATATCAAAAATCTTAGGTCCACCGCGATGGGACACAAATATGGCCGACTTAAATTCCGGTTTATCAGTGCCGTCTAATTTTATTTAAAAAATGTAAAACTATGATGTAGGGTAGACGTGGGGTAGACTCAATAATTTGTTGTTTTATTTTACGTTGTGAATAAATGTTGGTAGTTATTAAAATTGTTATAAAAATATATAATTCTAATAAAAATAGATAAGTTATATTAAGTATTTATTACCACAAACATCCGATACGCTACTGAAGCAGGTAAGTCAAATTAACGTATCTAAATTCTTTGACATCTAATCTTTGACAAGTAATAAATAAAAGCTAAAATGCAAGAAAAATATATAATTTAGTTAATTTAAGCGAATTTCATAAATGATCGGTTTTATATAATATATAATGATCGGTATGTATATTATATAGTCACTTACTAGCGAAAAGTTGTTCCATTATTTCACTCAATTTTTGCCGAGATCTACCGCACGCTACACAACCAACTATTTTAGACTCTTGTTCGATAAATCGCGATAGTGTCACTGTTAATTTAAGTGCTGCCACAATTTCCATCTAGATTTATTACCTTTATACAACTATCAGTAGTAGAATAAATAATAAATAACATAAAATAAGCTCCGTAAAGACTGACAAATCCACAAAATTTCAAATCAAATTCAAATGTGTCAAATGAATCGTCAAACAGAACTGTCAAGGATCCCCACCCTAGAGTGTTTTTATGGTGCTTTTTCCGCCCACCATGCATGAATACATGGATAGCATTATGCTCCTTCCTTAGTCTTCTTATTCAAAGGATATGAACTATAGATAATAATGGATGTCGAATTTTTGCTGATACTGTACGCGTTTAAATGCAACTTATTTTCTATAAATTTCTGTTGGCTAGTCGCCTGCTCATTTGCAAATAGGTATTCTCTTATCCGTCCTAACCTTTCCCTCGTTTTTTGGCGGCTTGCCCCTGGCCCTAAACAGCTTCCTGCCTCTCACGGACAGGTTCATCCCTAAATAAGGGGGCGTTTTGGGGTAGTTTTGCTTGTAGACCATTTCGAACAGGCCAGTGTCGGCGTTGGAATCTTTTCTTCGGTCCAAAACGACTGAAATTAAATAAATCCTTTAAATAATACGCTTAGAAATATATAATATGAATTTTCACAGATGAAAAAAGTGGACTAGCTGACAGAATAGTAAATAACAAAGGTAAAATCTACAAAAATTAAAGGTTTTTACCTTTAATGATATCTTCCATGCACTGTGGACACAAACGACTGGTAACGGACGTGGAAAAGGACAGGTCAGGACTACAGTTTATTTCTAATAACCAGGGAGTAAAATCTTCGGATAGAATGAAATCGGCACCGTAAATTTCGAAAGTGTTTGGCCTGCGATCCATCGTATCCTGGCTGGCCAACATGGCGCATATAATACTCTGTCTCATACCAGGAAATATAACCTAAAAAAGAAAAGTATTTACAATAATAAAAGAGGGAATGGTAGAAAAGAAATTATATATCAACAAAGGAACAGCAAATTCATGGCTATCAAGTGCTATCTGAAGAAAGTCTTTGTTGCAGACTCTGCGATAAAGATCTTAAAACAGCCGGTATTAGGGTTCAGTATACCTGGTTCCATTTTTCCATGCACCCGATTTGCTTCAAATAAGCCTTGAAGGTGTGACAATCCCACATGTTGTCATCTGGCAGTGACTTATCTCTTAGCTGACCGTTTATATACTTGCACTGCACGGCGTGATTGGTGAGATGAAGAGATTCATGAAAATTCTCCAAACTGAAGATCTGACTACTAAATCTTAGATAGCTGTCTCTAAAATATACAATTTATTTGTAACAAAAATAATATATCATATTTTACATACTTATACATCCAGATAGTCAATGGTTGGACGTTGGTAACCATAAACCACTGTCTTATGTCGAACTTTGTCTTATATATAATCAAAGGCTTTTCTAAAATCGACTACTATAATTTTAGTAAGTTTTCTGCTGGATTTCTTAATTTTATTCAACGCCAATTTTAATATAATTCAATTTTAATAGTGAAACTTACCAATGTACTTCTGTACGACGTATTTTACCTTCAGACCCATGATCTTGTCTACGTCGGCGATGTTCTTGATCAGCTGGATGCCTCGACCTCTGCACTTGTTGCCTGGTTTCATTATCCAGATGTTCCTCATGCCGTCTATGTCGAATTGGGGCCAGAACCTGGATATTTCCTTGAGACAGGTCTTGGCCAGTGCATATTTTGTCAGTAATTTATCCTAGAACACCATGTGGTGAAAAGAAATTCAAATAAAACCAATTACTAGATTTAATGAACATAATATGGTCAGAACATAACGCTGGTTTTTGTCCGTTTATACGCTATTGTTTATAAGATTGAAGAAATAAGAAGATGCGCAACCTTATGGGCGATTATTAGGGGATTCTTATGGGGGATTTCGATAAATTTAGTTTAGCTCTGCGCCGCTGTGCGCTGATAGTCGTTTACAGCTTACAGCGCAGCGGATAAAGAATACTGTAGTTCTGCTTTTAGTCGACAGAGTGAGTGGTTGCCGGAGACAGTGTTGCCAGAACTAATCATTAATCCGTCGATGTACGGATTTTGGGTACAGTACGTTAATAATACGGATTTCCTATCATTAAACAATTTAGTATAATGTTATGTGATTAAACAAAGAACGGCGTCAGATTTGGCTTGGAAATGAAGATTGCTGTTATTTCATATTATGGTAAATGTCAACAATCGTCATTTCCAAGCCAATTAAACGACTTTTTTCGATCATACGACATATTCAGTACCTATAAAAGAATTTTTTTTTGTTGTTTATTCTATGTTTAACACGAATAAATTTTCAATACACAAACGCGGATTTTGCACCCAAAGATATTTTCGTGAAACGTTTTAAAGATATTACACATTTTAATATGGCAACACTGTTGCTTTCAGATTCACACCGTCTTCGATATGCCTTCGCCGGCCGAATTAGAGAAAATGAGTGTTTTATGCGCTGACCGCAGAACGATTGGTGTCTCCACCGTACAGCGCTTGAGACGTAAGGGGAAATCAAACCAGCTTTGTCACGAATTCGCCCATTGGGTTGCGTATCTTCCCAATTCTTTCAATCAACGATACTATGTTAAAGAATAATGTACCTTAAAGTCATAAAAGAGCTCGTCCTTATGCACGACAGAGTGAAAAAATCCCAAAAACTGTTCCCACTCGTGATCCCAGACTCTCGGAAACTCCTTATCTATATCCAGATGTTTCTGTTCAGCCACATACTCCGTACACCTTTCAAAAAGCAGTTTAATACAATTTGATAAAAAAAAAAAAAAAAAAAACATATTATACCTATCTAAAGCAAACTGTAAAGCCGAATGGGGAATGCTGCCCTCGATCGAATGCACGTCTAGTTTGTCTTCGTATCTTTGGGTGAACCATTTTAGCAAGCCCATGCAGGCAGTTTGGCGGAACTGAGAGACTCAAACAACCAAAAAGGGGGATCTTGATATCACACTAATTTAATAATAAACAATGGCCAGTGATTTCATTCAATTATTATTGTTTCGTCGTGTTGAGTTGTAAAAAATCTCGTTTACAGTATGCTTATTTATGTGTTGTGAACAATACAGTGTAAACAAATTATTTTCTTGAACCTAAAATATTTTTAAAATGTTTGGTGTTAATGTAGTTAAATAATAAAGTGATTTAAAAGGATGATTCAATGGATATGCATTAAAATTTGGACACTGTAGTCAAGGTATGCTTATATTATTAAAAAAATAAAGAAATAAAATTATCGGCGAGGTTGTAAATAGGTTTTTAGAGGTATGCTGAATACGCATGCCAAATTTGAGCAATTTTGGACAAGCCGATTTTAAGTAATTTAAGAAAAAGTACATCTATTTTTAAATTAAAACTGGACAGGTTTCGAGAAACCCCTCCTTATCGAACCTCTACACCCCGTAGTCACTCCGTTTACCAAAAATCAGCTTTAAACGTCAAGCAGTTTAAGCAGAATCGTGATTACTCAATGGTCATATTTTATGAAACACCCTATATAATTTTTAAAAAATCTTAAAATATGTAAAACAACAAAATAAAATATACGTGTTTAAGAGTTTTTCCGAAAAACTCACCGGTTTTTAAATAAAAAATATTCTAATATTTGAGGGGTGGTTTCACCCCCTTAGAATTCGTGTTTCGAAAAATCCCTTCGTATCGAACCTCTACACCCTAAAGTCAATCCGTTTTCCAAAAATCAGCTTTTTACGTCAAGCGCTTTAAGCAGAATCGTGATTAATCAATGACCAGATTTTTCAAAACACCCTGTTACATTTTTAAAAAATTTTAAAATATGTAAAAAACAAAATAAAATATACGAGTTTAAACGTTTTTTCGGAAACTTGTCGTTTTTTAAATAAAAAATATTGTAATATTTGAGGGGTGGTTTCACCCCCTTGTAACTGGAATTTCGAAAAATCCGTTCTTATCGAACCTCTAGAATCAATCTGTATGCCAAAATTGAGCTTCTTACGTTGAGTGGTTTGAGCAGGATCGAGATTTTATATATTAGTATTGATAATTTGGTTTTTATTCTTTGATAGATTGTTATTTTAATTGACGTCATATTTTTTGCTATTTTAAAATGTTAAAGAAGTACAAAATTTACTATTAGTTCAATGCTACGGTAGGGTGATAAGGGTGATAGGGGAGAAAAGGGTGATAATAGTTCGGAAAATATGACACTTTAACAACAGCGAAAAATATGACGTTAATCAAAATTAATAATAACCATCTGTTCCTTCTGATTTTTAGGACTTCGGAGGAAAAATTCAATCATATTTTTATACTCTTTTTTTTTAATTTTCTCTAAAATGGTATGGAAATTTGGAAAAGTATAAACAGGATTAACCATTTTAGAAAAAACAAATTTTTTTATGGAAAATACATTTTTCTCAAAATGTCAATAGTAAAAAAAGTTTTTCCTCTTGTAAAAAAATCGGGGAAACATACTGTAGAAATAACACGTTTCTATTTTTTCTTTAATATCCATTTCGAGTAAACAATTACATTTCTTCCCAATTTTTTTTTCTATTACAATTCCAATCACATAATTTATCATCAGTTTTATCCGAAAATAATACACTATTTTTTTCTGTATATACAGACAACAAAATTGTTTTTCTCCAAACCGTTCAAGCTCATAACTCGATTAAAATCGCTGCGCGTGAGATAATTTCGTCTGCCCTCTTTCTATCTCTTATGAATATTAATTATCCAAGCTGTATAACATTTTTCATACACATCCATCACTTCCGAGCCCGAAAGAAAACGAAAACAAGGAAAAACAATGTTATAGCTTTTCTGTTAAGAATATCTTGAAGTCGTGGATGAATCTATACTAATATATAAAATCCTTAAGTGACTGATTTACGGATTAATCACGATCCTGCTCAAACCACTTAATGTAAGCAAGATCAATTTTGGCAAATAGGTTGATTCTACGGTGTAGAGGTTCGATAAGAAGGGATTTTTCGAAATTCCAGTTCCAAGGGGGTAGTTCTGTAGGCATGTGAAACGTGGACGTTCAATGCAACGGAAAGTTCGAGGCTAGAGATTTGAGAAAGAAAAATACCGAGTAAGATTTTTGGAGGAAAGAAGATAGATAATATATGGACCAGAAGAACAAATGAAGTATTACAGCAACTATATCGGGCTACGAGTATAATGACTGAGATGGCTGGGACACATTGAAAGAATGGCTGAAGCAAGAATTCCTAGTATGATAATGAAACGTGAAATAGGTGGAAAGAGAAGGAGGAGTAGACCGAGAACCAAATGGAAAAAGGATGTTGAAGAAGACTTGAGAAGGATAATAGTGGATTGGTGGAGAATAAATAGCTAGTAGACTGAAATCATAAATTTGAAATGTTTTTGTGTGAAATGTTCAACAGAAGGAGAACAAAAAGAACAGGAAAGAAACAGTTTTATCATCATTTTTTTAAAGAAAAATTTATGATTAATTTAAAAAAATAAAAAGTTCCTAAATTTATCATTTCAGTCAAATAACTATCTATTCGACATGTTTATTTTTATCAATATATATTTTTATATATTTTTACGTAGAAAATCAAATTTCTAATGTATATTTTTTACTCCAGTAGTTTTGTACAAATTTTTAGAATTTAGAATGAGCGGGAGGGGGTTAATCACTTCGACCTTACAGATCCATTGTGTCCCCCTTTCTTGAATCATAACTCATCATACAGTCCCAGGGCTTTGACAAAAAGCCAGTATCTGGGACTTGTTTTATAGAGGGTAGTTCTCCATCTCCAATATCAGTCGTACCAAAATTCATGGCACGAATGGTTGTCATCTCGGCGCACTCAGTGATGAGGTGTACCTGGTGTTTCACCATCTTCCCACAGAATCTGCATTCAAGCCGTTTCTTCTTAGTTTCAATCTAATTGAGGTGTTCATTGAGGAGACAGTGTCCTGTTAAAACCCCGTGACAATCCTCGAAGATTGTTCTTACCCAGACCCAGGGGAGATCTGATTCAGATTTTTCCTTGGATCATAAGCCCCTCAGAAACTTCTTCGAGTAAGTCTTAGACCATTGCAAGATTTCCATTCCAGGTTGTGGATGGAATCTTCCAAGTTCTTGAGTTCCGTCTTGAGTTGGCTTTACCACTTGGATAGTTTTATACAGGTACGGAAGAAAAGTTAATACTCTTCAAAACAGTTAAACACATGTAGGTAGGGCCCCCCCTACAAATAAGAGTTATATTCATGTCATATTGACATCAAAATCAAATTTCTAATGTCAAAAACTTCCAGACACCAATTTCATCTAAATCATAACAGAATAAATCTGTAAAGACGAAATATGAAATTATCGTTATTTGCCATTTTTTCTTGTTTTTCTAAGTGTACTTGAGAACTTCGAACATAAAGCATTTTCAGAAATATAGTATTACACGAAAGACAAAAGACAAGAAGACCTGACGACATGCAGGAAATGATTTGGAACAAAAGTAATTTCGGCTTTCCAAAATGTGGAAAAAGGAAATAAGCGGCACCTGCCGTTTTATTATCCTATTCTGGTCATTTGCCATTGCCTGGAGAGTTTTTTTATGTCTTTGCCAATTTTTCTTTATGTATAGAAACAAGAATAACAAAGAAGATTTACAAAAGGATTCTTTTCTGACATATTTTTTTGCAAAAAGAAAGAACAGCGATTATTAGAAACCTTTAAATCTCAGTAATTATACAAGGTGAGACTTGAATAAGTGAAAATATTTTCAGGGTTGGTAGATTTCGACCAAAAAAAATATGTTCTGCTTAAATCTGGAGAACGACTGAGTATTCTAGTTCAATTAAAATAAATGTGGCTTTTATAAAAAAAATCAAAAGCGAATTATTATTGATCAAAATATATTTATTACGGTATATTTTTTAATTACTCTTAATTGATATTCTATAGATGAACTTTTTTTTATATAGCCAGCGGATTCTATTTCAAAACCTTTTAGGTTTTTAGCGTATTTTAATTTACCCTTACCAAACACACCCTTTCCTATCAGTGTTGACTTTGTTAATAAGCGAAATGGAAAGTAAAGATTTGTCGAAAAAATAATTAGTGGTTAGTAGAACACGATAACATTATTTAATTGATCTGATTTTGGTCTGGTTAGTGTCAAATTGTATTTGACATTGATTATTGGTCCCAATCTCAAATTTGGGACACCTTGTACAAGTGTCTTTTTACTCATAGTACAAAGAACACAAGGTATGATCGATAGCGGCTCCAATTTCGTTCAGTTCGCGCATACCGCCTGTGACGTCACTAGGAAAATAATGAATAAATAAAAAATAAAGAAAGTTGACAGATCATTTTATATGATATCTTGCAAGTAGCTGGGATACTGTGGCAGGCCTCGTTGCAAACAAGCTGTTTTCTTTTAGTCTTCGTCGGATTGTTCTCTCACTGACTTGAGTTCAACGCACGGCTTATGACGTAGCATCCGTTAAGAAGGAATTAATTTACAATTTATAAAAAAAATCATCAAAATCTAATGAGTGGTTCGCGAGAAATCCTGCTTTGAAATTGGGACTATTTTTTAGCAGCCGGTTTTTTTTGCCGGTGAGTTTATTAGGATTTCTCTATGGATACAACAGACTACCGCAATCTGTTGCTAGGATATTTTATCAATTTTAAATGTGTATTTTTGTGAATGATCGTAAACTAAAAAGTATAAAGTGTAATTGAAACCACTAATTTATTCCAGTAATTGGGAGGTTCTGAATGAAGCTATACATACATGAAAGCTAGCATGAAAACTGTTATATTGTGCAAATAATTCCCTACATTTACAATCTCAAGTTTACATAGTTTCTTTCATCAAATCTGATTGGGAATATTTCAGAACTCAATATATCAATATATTCAAGTTTATTTATACAGTTAATAATTATTAT